ACCTATTAGTTAGTGAGCTCCTGAAGGTTAAGGTTAGTGTCACATTCACTGTTTTTATTTTCCACACAAATAAGCACTCAACTGTTCATTCAAATCATTTAACTTATTCAATGTCTATTTTGTGCCAGGGAAAACAGCAATGAACAAAACATACAAAAATCCCTTCCCCGAGATAGTACATCCTAGTTTGTATGTTGGTGGGGGAGATAATAAACAAAATAAATACATAAAATATAACATCTGTGATCTGATAATAAATGTGATGGAGAAAAATAAAGCAGGAGAGTGGGATAAGGTATTACTGGAGGAGGGGAGATCACTTCAATTTTATACAAGGAGGTCAGAAAATACCTCAAGGAAAGAGAACTTCAGCTAGACTAAAGTGTGCATTAAAATTACAAATTATGAGGGGGAAGCCATGTATGTACCAGGGGAAAGCATCGCAGGGATTGGGCATAGCAAGCATAGACCTGAGGCTGGAGCATGCTGAAGTATAACAGGATAGCAAGAAGGCATGTGCATGTGCATGTGCGTGTGTGTGCGTGTGTGTGTGTGTGTGTGTGTGGTGTGTATGTATGTGATATATGGTGTGTGTGTGTGTGTGTGTGTGTGTGTATGTATGTGATATATGGGGTGTGTGTGTGTGTGTGTGTGTATGTATGTGATATATGGGGTGTGTGTGTGTGTGTGTGTTGGAGGCTTGGAGACAGAGTGAGCAACAAAGAGAAGAGGCCAGAGTGATAGAGAGGTGGTTGGGGCCTTGTAGGCAACCTTGACTTTGACTTTGAGTGAGCTAAGACGAGGGCTTTGAGGGAAGGGGTGACTTTGCTTACATTTGAAAGGTTCAATCTGGTGTTTGTGTTTTGTCCTAGTACTTTCTGGCTGTGGTGACAGAATACCACATACTAGGTAACTTATAAGCAACACACATTGATTTCTCACCATTCTGGAGGCTGGGAAATCCAAGATTGAGGTTCCTGCATCTTCAGTGTCTGGTACAGGTCTGCTTCCTGGTTCATTGATGGCAACTTCTGTCTGTGTCCTCATATGAAAGAAGAGGGGTCTCTTAGGGTTTCTTTTATAAGAGCTATAATCTCATTCATGAGGGCTCCACCCTGATTACCTAATCACTTCCCAATGGCTCTACCTCTAAACACCTTCAGGTTGAGGAATAGGTTTCAACATTAAAACAACAGCAACAAATGGGGGGGGCACACACAAACATTGAATCTATATTAAGTTTGTATTAGGATATTGGGAAACAGGGAGAACAGTTAAGGGATTAGTTTAAGAATCCAAGCAACAGACGATGGTGACTTGGACCAGGAGACTGGCAGTGTGATTGGCAGGTAATGGTCAAAGACTGTGTGTGTGTGTGTGTGTGTGTGTGTGTGTGTGTGTGTATGTGTACTCAAGGCCTCCTGCTTGCTATGCAGGTACTTTATCATTTGAGCCATGCCCCTAGTCCTTTTTCCTTTACTAATTTTTCAAATAGGGTCTCGCATTTTTACCAGGGCTGGCCTGGACTGTGATCCTCTTTCTTGGGTAGCTCTTGTGCAGCTGGGATGACAGACATGTACCACCATGCCCAGCTTACTGGTTGAGATGGGGTCTCACTAACTTTTTGCCCAGGCTGCTCTTGAACCTCAATCTTCTCAATCTGTGCTTCCAGAGTAAATGGAATTACAAGAATGAGTCACCTTGCCTAATCTTTGATATTTTTTGAACAGGGAGTAAGAGAAAGGGAGCCATCAGTAATGGCTTCAAGGTATTTGAGGTAACTGGAAGGATGGGGTTACAGGTTTGAAAAGGAAGCACTACTGTGGATATGTTAAGTTTGAGATGCCTGTTAGATATCCAAATGGAAATGCAAATAGGCAGGACATAGAGAGAGATCCAGCTTGGAGACAGGAGTTTTCAACCTACTGGTTATATTTGAAACACTGACTTGCCTAAGCTTACAAACCAGTGATGTAGACAGAGAAGTGCAGAGATTGAATACTGGGGCACTCCAAAGGCACAGCATAAGAGAAAACCCAGCGCCAGACCCTACAAGAAGAAAATGCTTCAGGGAGGGAATGAGAACCCATGCAAATATTGCTGGGAAGTGAAATAGGAAGACTAGGGACACAGACTGAGAACTGCGCCTTGGATTCAGCAGTAAGGAGTCTATTTATGGTGGTATGGGGTTTGAATTCACTACCTATTGAGCCACTCCACCAGCCAGCAGTCAGGAGTTTAATGGAGACAAGATGTGATTAGGAAGCCAGATTAGAACGGGTTCAAGAGGGAGAGGAGGAGGAGAAGTGGAGATATTAGTCGGGGCTCTTTCAAGGACATTTGCTGTAAAAGCAAATGAGTAAGGGGGAAGTGGAAGGAAGAGGAATCGAGAGTGTTTAACATACCCATCCCCTCACAAGAATGGAGAAATAGTTAATGTTGGGCTGCCGGGCTTGATCAACTAGAGGGAAAATGTGATGTTTTAGGAGAGGCAAAGGAGAATTGCTGCAGTCACGTCCTCCAGCGGGGCGCGAGGAAAGGGGAGGCGCTGGCCCCCCGTGGGGGGGGCAGGGGGGAGGGGGAAGCTGAGCAGTGGGGCGGGGGACCGGAGAGACAGACCGCAGAGTCGGACAGCACAGATGACAGCGGAGTAAATGTGCGGGAGGAAATTAATTACCTAGAGGGATAATAGATGAGTTCTGTCCATTTTCCAAATGTCCCAGCATATATTGTTACAGTTTCACAAGCTATTAAAAGAAACAATTCATCCCGAGGTACGGCTTGGGTGAGTAAGGCGGAGAGAGCGGTTTCAAAGCTTACTCCGCGCCTGCTCTAGGGTCAGGAGCGACTTCTAGTGGTTCATTTAGAGCATTAACTTTTTTCTTGTTTTCTGGCCTTTGAAAGTACAAAATCACACTGCCCACTCTTTACAATACTATTATTTTTTAAAGAAATATGATCCCCCACTTAATTTTCAAAAAACGGCATCGTGCATTTGAGTAAAATAAAGCCAAATCACATGCAGTCCAAGCTAGAGTTGCTATTAGTTATCATTACTAAGACGTTCCCCTCTAAGGACACCATTCTCTGCAGTGCCACCAATGTTGATGTTCAGACTGCTTACTGGATGAGTGGCTTTACTAAATCCAAAGGAAGGACAGCTGGCAGGCCTCCAAGGTGGAGGATCTTCTCCATGCTGACATACAGTACAATGTCTCATGGTTTTCATTACTGGGGACACTTGAGTTTGGGTTGTCCGTGGGTTTCCCCTGCCTGGTCTGTGCCCTCGCTCTAGGTTGGTGAACTCATTTCCTCATGGAGTCCCCAGGTAGTCTCCAAGACTAACTTAGGCCTTTTGTTATGCAACACCCGGTGCTTCTTTCTGCTTCATGGCATTTTCCTTAGCTGCAATTTTGCATCATTGTTTAATTATCAATTTTAATTATATTATCAATTTTGCATTATTAATGTCTTTCTTCTGGTAATTCATAAGACCCGTAAGAGCAAAGACAATGTCTGGCTTGTTCACCACCATCTCCATAGCACTTAGCTCAGTGCCCAGCACATAACTGATACTCTATAGACATTGATTGAACAAACAGACTCTTATCAGGATCCCATTAACATCTTTTGGATCCCACTAGAGGAGACTGCATTTCAGAAATGGATTTCAATTTCTAAAATATAATTTGCAGTTGCTTTAGGTGCACCTGTGCAACATGTGACAACTTGTTACAAAATCATTCCAGCTAGTCTTTCCAGCTCAATCCTTAGAATTTAAATGTTGTTTCTGGCTCTTGGGCCTATATTTCCTGGATCCTAGACCTATGACTTGAAGTTGAGTAAGAACTAAGTAAAATGCTCTGAGCAAGAAGTAGAGCTTCTCTCTCTCTCTCCATGTGGGTATATAGTGTGTGTGTGTGTGTGTGTGTGTGTATGGTACTGGAGAAGAAACATGGGGTGTGCCTATACTAAACATGTGCTCTTCCACTGAGTTACACTGTCAAGCTCCTGGAACAACTGTTATCTTTTCCCACAGCTCCCTACCCTAAATAATTTAACCTCTTGTGTTATAATTTTGGTGTAGTCCTTTTGATGTAGGCCCTGAAAAAAAAACTCCCTTCTATTGTTGTTCAAGGTTAGTGTTTTCCTAAAATCACTGCTTTGACATTATTTTAATGGGGGCACATATGATAATTAGGCCAACTTAATGGGAATTTTTTTGTTGTTTTTGAATACTTTTAGATTAACTGTCAAATTAATGCAAGCATACATGGGTATATGTGTAGCATGTTCTCTGAAACTTGTATTCCTTCTGCTTGAGACGCCTTGTTTTTTTTCTCCTGGATGGCTCCTTGTTATCCTGGGAGTCTCAGCTTAAATTCCATATACTAAAGCCAAGAGTACCGGTCTAATTTAGATGCCTACCTGTTATTTTCCTTCGTACCATTATTTTAAGTTTTCACGTATTTGTATTCATTCGTTTAATTCTGTCTATTCCTCTAAAGTGTAAGGGACTTTGTTTTGGTCACGTTTGCAGACCTGTCACAATGTCTGACAGGTAGTAGGTGTTCCTACTATTTGCTATTTCTTTTGTTGTTTGACTTATGCTCGTTTCTTCTATAGCATTTTAGCTCCTGCTATGCACTGTAACTCCCAAGGAGGTGGGAGAAAAGTACAACAACACTGAGTACTGAAATGGCAAGTCTTCTCATTTGTTGAGGAGCTGCTGGCTTCTCCGGGGAGGCCATCAAGGACCCATAGGTAGGCATAATAATTCTATTAGTAATCGCGTGACTGAGGCAATCAGGGGAGCTGTCAGAAATGCTTTTAAAGTTACATTCCTTGGGTTCTTGAGCAGCCAAAATTACAAACTACAGCATTTCAATGAGGTGGGAGTTGGCAGAATGTAGAAAGGAAGTTTTTTGTTTTTTTTTAAGGTTTGCATAACGAACCAAGGCATCCTACGCCATCTCTCTGAAATGCAACTCAGATGCACGCATCCTTTCCTGCGCGCCAGGAAGTCAAGCTCTTGCAACAGCTCATCTGCCCAATGGGGGGCGGCAGCATCCCAGAAACTCACTCCCTGAAGATGTGTAGGTGGGAGGAGAGATTCGCGTTCAAAGTCTTTTTGACTCTACCCACTCTCCGTAGCGCCTTAGCCCGCTCGAGTTTCAATGCGCGTTGTTGCTGGACGAAGCTGAGTCCCATATACAGCCCGCTGCTCTCCTGATCATGGCCTCTTCGAATTCCTTCACCTATTATTGCCCTCCATCCTCCTCCCCAGTCTGGTCAGAACCGCTGTACAGCCTGCGGCCCGAGCACGCGCGGGAGCGGTTGCAGGACGACTCGGTGGAAACAGTCACGTCCATTGAACAGGTGAGGTGGCAGGACTGGGCGAGGCGCCGCGCGGGGCCTTCTGGGAGCGGGAGTCCAGTCGGCGGGGCCGCGGGGCGCCGAGCTCCGCGGGAAACTACCACTCCCACAGTGCACCGCTGCGCCCCCTGGCGGGCGCCGGGCTCCAAACTGGGGTTTCCGGGTGGAGCGTTTGTGGGGCAGGCGTGTGGAAGGGTCGTTGCGAGGCTACTTCTGAGAGGAGAGCACCGGGTTCAAGTCTACTGTGCGGACCCCACAGTAGCCCAGGCGGATCGGACAGCCTTCTCCATTCTGCCCGGACGTCGGGAGGTGCGGGGACCGACAGTGCACTTTCCCCTACCTGCTTGCGGTGCAGGACGTTTAGGGGACAGAACGGTCGGACGCGGTCATGCCATTTCATAATCGGTTTAATTTCTGACTTGCAGTGCCATGTTGGGGCCTGCCACGCGATGGGCGTCCTGGTAGTCGTTTGGGCACTAGCTGTGGGTTAGCCACAATACCAAGCGTTGAAAAACAAAGAAATAAAACAGCCCCTGGTCAGCCTAGTTGGGGAAAGCAGGCACGAGAGCTAGTTTGGAAAGTGCTAAAAGTATGAATTTGGATTGCTTGTCATTCACTAAGGCCTAAAGGTAGAGTTGAGCATATCATTTTGAAAGTGTTTGAGGAATGAGTAGTGAAGTATAGTGAACAAAACTATAGTTTTGTTTTCCTTTTCATTCCCCAATTGGAATTGTTCCCAAATTAATTGCAGAGCTGTTTACCCATCTGTTCCTAGGAGTTGTGGTCACGATGATTCTTTTTAACACTAACAAGCATCCAGCTGCTTACTAAAATAAGATCTCTTAGTAAGATCAGTACCCAGATTTATCCTTGGAGGGACCTGCTTTATTTTTCATACCTGCACTTGAAAGCTTTTGTTTAGGCAAAATTAATAGCAGTAATTACTGTATTTTACAGTTACAGCTCTGAACATAAATCTATAACAAAAACAAGTGCTTGGATACATGCTAATGCATATAATAGCAGAAGGAATATTTTAACTGGAGGTTTATGCTTCATGAGTTTTAGGTTATCCTATCCTATAGAACTCTTTTTTTGGTCCCAGAACAGTCCTAAATGCTTTCTACATTGTTACCATTCAGTCTTAACACATTTTGCAAATGAGAAAACAGGTGTAGAGAAGTACCAGGTTGGTAGGAAAATGATACATTTATCAGAAATAACAACCTTGCTGGGAAGATTTGTTTACATAAGATACTGCTATTCTTTTGTTGACTGGAACAAATTGACAGCTCAATTTTGTGCCATTGCAATAAAAAGAAAGGCTTGTGGCTTGCTTCCTGATTATCAGGAGACTACTTATTTGTCAGACAATAATTTGATTGTAGGAGTTAAAACTATAAACAGTAGAAGGAGCCCTTTGCAGTGGGTCCTTCTGTTCCATCCATTCGTTTTGTTTCATTTAACATATACTTGAGTGCTTTTTTTGTGTGACAGGTACTGTTCTAGGCACTTGACCTAAGTCAGTGAATAAAGGAGACTGATAACATTTTTAAGAAACTCTTATTCTAGGCCAGGAAGGCAGCTAATTAAGAAGAAAAATTATTAGTGTTGAGTTGTAGCTCAGTGGTAGAACATGAATTTAGCCCACAGGAGGCCCTGGTTAAATCCCCAGTACTGTATACATACACACAAAAGTTAGATATGTTGTGAGAAAAATAAAGAAGGGTAGATGGGAAGGGATTTGCCAGGAATGGTATTAAGGGAAAAACTGACGATGATGTTAATTTGATCTGACATCTGAGGGATGTGAGGGAGCAAGTCACTAGTGACTCTGGGGATAGAACATCTGGGAAACAGCAAGTACAAAGTACCCGAGGCAGGAGAGTTCTTGGTGAGTCAAAAGATTAGCAACAAGAGGATAGGGCATGAGATGAGATCCATAGAGGGCCCTGTGGGCTGTTGTAAGTACTTTAAAAGACCCTGATTGATATGGGAAGCCATCTGGCTAGATAGCATCCACTTGCTTCCTAGATTCACTGGACCCTTTTCCACCCTGCCCTGTGGATTTGCCACAGAAGGTGGACCTGCCTGGCAGGATCTGTTGCCTTGTGTAGCTGGTTGGTGTTTGGCCAAGGAAGTATTGCTAGGAGGTGAGAAAGAGAGGAATGAGATCATTTTGTTTTTTCCCTCCTGCAGAGTTGTGTGGGCTGGAGTTTCCCTAGACTTCAGGTTATATCTATCAGGTGCCTTCTCCACAGAGCCCCTGTCTTCCTCTTCACTCTTTCCTATCACACCTTCAGGTCTAAGAGAGGATCAGGTGCCCCTGAGTTCCCAGCTCCAGATGCTGTACTCTGCCTGTGGGTTCCCTACACCTGCCATATCTTTGTAAACTCTGTATAAACTCTCCTCGATTCACTCACTTTGTGGCACCTGACTCGCGCCAGGACTCAAACTGATCCCTGATCATAAGGTTTTGGGCAGAGAAGTGATGCAATCTGACTAGCAATTTAACAGGTTGGTGTAGGTTACTGTCAAGAGCAGAGTGTGGACAGCAGGTATGGACGGTAGAGGGTACAGAGTCCTGGGTAAGAGATGACAGCAGCAATGGAAGTGGTCAGTTTCTGTCTCTCTGTTGATATGTATTTTGCTGATGGAAGTGATGCAGGAAGGGCCTTTCATTATGACTTTAGAAAGCAAGGTGTGGTTGCAAACATGGTGATTCAGGCCAGTAGGATAATATCGATAGTCTTAGCATTCATAGCCTTGCCAAAAGCAGTTGTTCATAATAGATACTACTCCAGTGTTTCTTTTGGTTATTCCTTGAATAGGGGCCAAAGTATCATCCACTTGAAATAGCGTGTCATTAGACAGCATTTAATCAAGTGACAACTCTAAGGGGAATATAAAACAATTAGTACTCTTAGTCCCTGCTCTCAAAATTGTTTTCTCTTGAAAAACAAAAGAAACAAAAGAATCACAGTGTTTTAAATTATGACCATATCGCATGGGAAGAGGAAGAGCAAGCTGTGGGCCGAGGGAATCAGGGGTGACTTGGTGGAGAGCGTGGACATGGAGCTGGGCTGTAAAGGGTGAGTTGGGGCAGCTGTTTGTGTAGGAGGAACCATTGGGAGGGAAGGGGCCACCCATGGACTTGAGAGCCGGAGAGACCATGGGTTCCAGGTCCTGCCTCCTGCTCCTCTTGCTTCATGATAGAGTCTTTCAAAGAGTAATAAATGAAAGTGGGGCAAGTCATTCAATATGATCAAGCTTCCCAGTTCTTTATGTCTCCAGTAGTAGGAATCGTAGGTCTGCTTGGTTAAGTGCTCAGCAGTCTAGCCATGTGAACCAATCTTATTTAATTGGAATCCAGCATATACTATATTGTCCAATTATATGGCAGCCTCAAATGTCAAATTTATAAAAAGTCTAAAAAATTGGGCCGGGACTAGGCATGGTAGTACACACCTGTAATTCCAACACTCAGGAGTCTGAGGTAGGATAATCGAGAGTTTGAGGTCTGGGATACATAGCAAGACCCTCTCTCAAAACAAAAGAAGGGAAGAAAGGGAGGAAGGGAGGAAGGGAGGGAAAAAAACCTAGGTAAGTATGTAGGTCAGTATTAGAGTGATGCCTAGCATCTGAGCATGCACAAAGAAGGCCCGGGTTCAACAGTCCTCATTACCTCCCCCTCCCCAAGTCCAAACAACTACTTTTACATTTTTAAGTATGTAGGTAAATAAACAAAATGCATACTGACAGAATTTACAGTTAAATTTAGGTACATTCAAATTTTTTCTTTTCTTTTTTTTGGCAGTATTGGGGTTTGAACTCAGTCTTGCACTTGTTAGGCAGGTGCTCTACTACTCCTCCAGCCCCAAATTCTTTCTTTCTTTCTTTTGAGACAGGTCTCAAACTCACAATCCTGCCTCTGCCTCCCAAGTGCTGGTTACAGGTGTGTACCATACATACCCAGCCTACCTAGTACCACACCCACCTAACAACAACAACAATAATAAGAAAATTGGTATTATAAAATTAGCTAGGGATTGAACTCAGGGCCCTGTGCTTGAGCCAGGCTGCCTGGCCTAGAATTATTTGTTTTCACAATGTTTCCAGCTGGTGTGTTTGTGATTGCCACAAGGTAACCATTTTCTTACTTTTAAAAATAATATTTAAAAGGCTGGTTTATAAAGGTAATTTAAACAGGGAAGTGTGACGTTATGTCCCCAGGAATAATTACTAAATCTATGTTTAATTTTTCTTTTTTCACTAATACCATTAGCCAAAGCAGCCCCAAATAGACCTTGACTGAGGTTGTTTTAGGCTACTGTGTCAATCTCAACTGGTACTTTGTAAACAAAATGAAATTGAAAGAACTCCCCACAGCAAGAGGTACTTTATAAGTATTTGATTATAAAATGACTTGTTTCTTTCTGAGGAATTTTTTTTTAAAGAACCTTGCCTATGTTTAACATATTAATGATTCTTTTGCCAAGCTTAATAGAAGTATAAAATTCAGAAAGCAGTCTGCTTTCTGGAATGGTCCTTGTCTAGGAGAAAGGTAGAGATGTAGGAAGAAGGCAAGTGATGGTCCACGATGTGGAAGTTGGTCATTATGAGCTCGGCTATAGATAGAAGGAAGCTGTGAAAAGGAAATTACCAAGTACATTTATTGATTTTACCCTTCCTTGATAAATAATTATTTTGTTCTTTTATTAATATTGATTGGATTTCTAGAAAAACTCAATGAGACTTTTTTTTGCATTGCTGAAGACAGAATCTAGGACATTGCACACACATGCGAGGCAAATATTCTACCACTGAGCTACATCTCCATCTCTCTCTGAAGTATCTTTTTTTTTTTTTTTGACACAGAGTCTAACTATATTGCTCAGGCTGGTCTTGAACTCCTGGGCTCAAGCAACAGCTTCCTGAGCAGATGGAACTATAGGTGTATGACACCACACTTGGCCCATGAGGCATCTTTTAAACAGAGTTAT